ATATATATATATATATATTCTGTTCTCCTTATTCTGGTTCCAAATCCATGGATTCAACCGACTATTCATCAAAAATACTTGAAAATATGTTGTATCTGTACAGATTTTTTCTTGTCATTATTCTCTAAATAATGCATATGACAACTATTTATATAACATTTGCAATGTATTAGATATTATAAGCAGTTTAGAAATGATTGAAAGTACATACATTCCTCTTTCAATGACCAAGTTCTATTCTCATGACCAGGTTGTTAAGAAAATTGGTCACTAAATGAAGAATTGTACATGATATGTATGTTACAATATTCAGAACAAAGAAATGGTCAAAGGAAACTTCAACTTGATGACTTTGCACTTTATTTGCATAACTCTTACATGCAGTACAGTGATGTATAACAGACCACAAGACTATAGTACTGTACTGTACAGTACAATCAGCAAACATTATGGTACTGCATAAACAAGATGTACTGTGCAGAAAAAGACATTAAGGCTCTATAAACAAGATGTACAGACCTATAAAAAAATAAACAGGTTGTGAATCTGAGCAGCTGGTCATAAGTCTGAGCAATGCATCTCAGTCTTAAGTCCAAACAGTTGTTAAAGAGGTAGGTTGTTAAACAAGGAATTTCTTTATACGGGAGAATGTGGGCTGGTGATTTGCACAAACTGTATTACTTTTTATAAGGGACAAAAGCAACCTTGAATTTTAGTATTTTCAGGATGTCTTGGGACCATTAAATGCAGCCCCTTGACCTCAGATTTCCTAGACTGCAGAACGGTAAGAAATAAATTTCTCCAAGGCTTAGTCTGCTATGGCTTAGATATGAAATATCCCCTCAAATTCATGTGCTGAAGGGTTGTTGCAGCTGATGGGCTTTCTGGAAAGTGACTGGATCATGAGGCACTAGCTTGTCAGTGAAATAATCTATTGGTGAAATCATACTTTGACGGCATACTTGTTAGGTGATAGTTGAAGGGAGTGGATCTTGGAAGCAAGACCCTGGGGACTATACCTGGTCCCCAGTTCCTTCCTCTTGTGCTTTGGCTCTGTCATTGTTGCTGCTTCCTGATTGCCATGAGGTGAGCGGCTTTCTGTCACCATGCACCTCTGCCATGATGTTTCTGCCCTGGAGTCAGTCATCCATGAATGGAAGCACCTGAAACCATGAGCCAAAATAAGCCTCTTCTCCTTGGGGTGTTTTTCTCAGGTATTTGGTGAAAGCACTGAGAAGCTGATTGGCACACAGATATTTTGTTATAACAACAGAAAATAGACAATGATGCACTGTAACTCTGGGACCTAACAAAATGCATGGCTTAAGGTATGTGTTTTATAAATATTTATCAGATAGATAAACATTCTTTCCAATGAGGTTCTATTGTCTTTTCAGTTTGTTTGTTGCTGGTGCCAAGAGTACGTGACTATGAAAACAGACAGGAAATAAAAAGAATATCTACTTTGTTTTTGGTAAGTATGTTTTGCATTTGGTATTTCTTCTATCCCTCTTTTTCTCCATTAGTGAGCTTGGAATATGAGGTGGAAGTGGTCTGGAAGCTGTTTGCCCATCAAGCCCTCTACATAAGTCACAAAAGGAGATACTTCTAGGACAGAGAAGAAGGGGGTACTCTGTGTGGCAGGGCACAGGTTGGTCCCATACAGGAACTTTCCAGGCTTATTAAAGATAATTTGCTTTGAGCCCCTGTTGCAAGCCCTCTGTATGTGAAGAGGCATTGGCTGACTGGCACCTGGGGAATTCTGAGTACTTGGAGTCAGGCAATTGAGCAACCACCTTAGCTCTTTTTTGCTGAGAAAAATGAGTGGGTCTGGTTGCCAGGGGGTTATATCTGCTGGTTGCAGAGGTTATATCTGTGTCCCCCTGCTCCCTCCCGCTAAGTGGCACCCCTCTGCCACTCACAAGAAACAAAACCCATCTCACTGACCTCTTCAAATCCCAGCCACAAACAGAACTTGGTTGCTAGCTGCCATTGGAATAACTCTGTGCCTTGGCTCCTGGAGTCACTGTTTCTACATCAGCTGTGTCAAAGTTTGCACACAGTCTCAGGGCAGTGGTTGCTGAAGGTCGAACTCAGAGTGGAATATTGGGAATATACATTTAAATGTGGAACTCTGCAGCCAGAATGTCCCTCCCATCCCTTAAAGACTAAATAGGCAAATGCTTCATGGAGAATGACTCTCCTCCTGCTGTGTTGCAGGGAGACCTGGGGACACTGATGTTTGTGTCCACAAATAACTCACCAAACAGGTGCTTTACAGTGTGGCTTTGTCTTTGTGCTAAACTGGGTCAAATCAAACATTTCAGTAATGAGTACGCATGTACTTTCTGTGAGTGGAGATGGATAATTGGAGAAAATGATGATTTGAGGCTCTCTTGTACAGTGGAAGATTCTGTCCCTATTAGGACATGATTAGGTAGTTACATAGGGGCCTGTGATTCCTACCTGTATCATAAGAATGGAGTCAGAATGCTCTGTGCTTTTGGAAGATGCAAGAAGGAAGAAGGAATAGAAGTAATTTTTAAGGCCTATGAAGAGCCATAGTTTTAGACATTTCATGAAGATTGGCTTAATTTAGTCGTACAATTGTCCTTAATCTTGTGGGCTTGGTTGACCTTGTTTAATGCCTGGCAAGGAAGTGAGAGACAGAATAGATGGAAAACTGAGTTTCAAGACATCTGGTGCATCAGTGGGGAAGCCACACACTACCTTCCGAGGTGACCTTGGAGGTTGGAATTCCACATGGTGGCTTGGTCACAATCTGCATGGATGGCAAAGGCTTTTGCTAGGTGGTGGCACAATTTTGAAAGCTATGTTGCTGCCAGTCAGGAAACCTGGTATTTCTCTTCCCCTAGTTCAGCAGCTCTCAACCAAGTGGCAGCATCAGTCCCAGATTGCTGAGTTCACTGCCCTTTTCCTGGTTCAGTGGAGCTGATGTGTGTGTGTGTGTGTGTGTGTGTGTGTGTGTGTGTGTGTGTGTGTGGGGGATGTGAGAATTTGCATTTCCACCCAGCTCCCAGGCAAGAGATGTGGCTGGTTAGGAATCTGTTCCTGAGAGCCTCTGCTCTAGAAGGGGGCCTAATTTGATAGTCACAGGGGTCAGGTTTTTCTGGGGAGCATGAAGTCCTTTGGGCTGCTGCCTTCCACTTCACTGGTTCTCCTTGCTGAAAAGGCTTCCAAGTGAGCAGAGGGATGATAGCAGATAATCTTCTCCTTTTGATGTTTTGTAACTCAATCTGTGCAGCATTTTGCAAAGTGATTTCATTTCTTTCTCTTAGAAAAAAAAAAAGAGGGATCCCAGTGTCCTTGAAAACAGCTCCCTTTTAGCTTTGCTTTTGGTGGCTTTTGTGCAATAAGGCAGGAATCTTAGGAAGCCTTACCTCTCATGGGCCTGGCAGCAGAGATGGTGAGCAAGCAGTCACCGCATCCTCAAAGGTGAAGCCATGACCCCGTCTGTGCAGTGGCACAGGGCCTCTGACTGCAACTATCCTGATGGCGAGTGTTTAACACCAGCGCCTGGGGAGATGCTAATGAAGGTCGGTGGCAGGCACAGGGGGGCTCTTGGCAAGTGTGTGTTTAATAGATTGATGCAGTAAGGGAAGCAGTTGGAGGTTGCCCAGGCACACATGTGCATGCGCACTCATACACACCTTGTGTGTGTGTGTCTTCGGTTTCTGTCTCTGTGAAGAAACTCTTCTGTAAATAAAGATAAAAAAATAATACATATTGCAAAATAGGAATACATTGTTCAAAATTATATAGAATGTGAGATACCCTGTTAATACCTAAAATGCGAAAAAGATATAGTATTATTAGGAAATGAGCTGAGAGATAGATTTGCAAATGAAAATATATTATTTAAGATCATAATACACAATGTATTTACCATTGTTATTTTCTAATTTTTGTTGTGAAAAATTATTTTTATATTTTCATTGATATTTTCTTTATTAATATCTACTTGTATTACATTAAAATAAAAAATAAAATAATGTATGAAAATATTTTTAAAAAACAAAGAAACTCTTCTGTAGCAACATTTTCATGCCCTAGTTTGGTAAATTGATGTACTTGGCATAGGAGTGAAGATCATCGGTAAGGGCAAAGGTTCAGTCCTCCTAAGTCTCATTTATAAGCAAAGCAGTGTATAAGCTACTTTCTTGTCACTGGAACACCTGAAAGTTAAAGGAGGCAAGATTTATTTTAGCTCCCAGTTTATAGAGATTTCAACTGGCTCCAAAGCAGAGCAGCATGACAGAAGGTATGGGCAGAGGAGAAACAGTCCACGGCAGGGCAGACAGGAAGCAGAAGCAGCGAGCTGTGTCTCCCTTTCACACTTTATACACTCATGCTACAAGCCTACTTGTTAGTGCCACCCTCCCCAGTGGCGCTGGAGCTCTGCCTGGCTTTGTCTAAGATTGTCCAGATGCTCCACACTCAAAGTCATCAAGAACTGCCTTTTGTTGTCTTTCTAAAGTGCCAGGATGAACATTTAAGATCTTCCGATGTGTGTGTGTGTGTGCATTATTGAACATAAGATCTGATGTGGTTTTGTTTTGTTTTGTTTTTTGAGACAGGGTCTCTCTATGTAGTTGAGACTGACCTGGAACTCACTATGTAGCCCAGGCTGGTCTCAAATTCACAGGAATCTTACTGCCTCAGCCTCCCGAGTGCTGGGATTACAGGTGTGTGCCACCATGTCCGGCAAGATCTGATGTGTTTTGATGGGCAACTCTCTCACCCTTCCATACTACTGAGACTCCCTTTGTGCACTAGGAAATGTTGCCTGTAGGGACATGTTGGGCTTGTGAATGGTATGGGGATGGAGAAAAGGTAGAAAAACACTCCATTCTTTCATCCATCCATCCATCCATCCATCCATCAGTCTAAAACACTTACTGAGGCCCTGCTGTCTAGGCTGTGGGGATACTGACAAGAGCAGAAGGCTAAAAGAAAGCACTTGCTGCATGCCTAGAAAGCTTCCATCAAGGTGAGAACCTGGTGAGAGAGGCAAAGAGGTGGATAACCCCTCTCTTAACTTTGGATGCCATCATTGCCTCCCTGGGAACCCTACCTCGTATGAGATGTTTGGAAATCAAGAATATTTTAGGTGCCTCCACTTGAGTTTTCCCACTCAGCTCAAGTAGTTACTTATCGCCTGTCTGGCTCCTTGGTGGCTGATGCCTTCTAACATTTTAGTTTCATATGAAGGCCTACATTTCTCCCACTAATCTCAATCTACATTTATGAACCACAACCTTATTTTTCTGGGATAAAGTCTTTGTAGGCTGAGCCCCTGGGAGTAATATTGAGTA